GGCCCGGCCCGTACCCGGACATACCCACCACAGCCTCAGCCGGGGTCGACACCGCTGCCAACATGGCGGTGCAGGCCACTGGCGACGCTGCCGCGGGACTACCCGCCCTCGCTCACAACCCACAAGACGGGACGGATCCCGAACCGACCACCCCCCACAGGCGCATCGACGGCCCGGGCAGGAGCCAGAATACCCACGGGCAACGAGGCACTGCAGCAGCACCTCAAGAAGCTGACCGCTTCCCCCGAGGGCCCCACAACCTCGGCCGCCTCCCAGCAGCGCGAAGCCGTGCGGGCAGCCGCCCGAACGATTCTCACGGCGATCCCCGTGGCAGGAGCCACCACTCAGTCGGCCGCTATAACAACCACACGCGCGCCTACGTCACCTGACGACACAGCGGTCGTCGCGGCAGTGGCCACCGCGTCGCCACCCAAACCCCTGCGGCGGGTAAGGCCGTTGCCGGCCACCGACCAGCAGCGCTGGCGTTGCCGCCAGCCAAGGAGCGACCCGGAGGGATCAGGTACAGGCAACCGACTCCCGGCTGACGGGACCGGCCGCTCACATCCTGTCCAGGTCTGCTGGCCACCCCGGTTGACGGGCCAGCGGCACGACCGCGGCAGACACCCTCCCCCGGCTACCTCACCGGCCGTACACGGAGCACCCGCGGTTGACTGGCCGGAGCGGGGATCGGTACCCGGACGACGGATCGGATCTCCGACGGCCAGTGGCCAGGCGTGTTCCCGCACGGATCCCGAATCTGTCCTTTTTTTTAAATCTAATATTAATTTTTTTTTCTAAAATAGTTGTTTTCGCGCTCAAATTTAATTTTTTTATCAGCTGTAAAATATTAAACAGGTGGCAACTTTTCGTCTGCCATGCTGATATCGACAGTTCGGTAAAAAATTCATCGAAAAACAAATCTTTTACGATTTACTTGCACTCTCTCTTTCGGTACTGAACACGCACTTTCAAAATTTGTTTTTTTTTTATTAAAAATGACAAAAGAAATGTATAAGCAAAAGTTTCGGGATGTCTGGCTACTGCAGCCCGATTTTAAAGATTGGATTAGGCGATATAATTCAGACATTAACAGGGCTTATTGCAAATACTGCAAATGCACTATTAACTGTAAAATTGACCAAATAAGAGCGCACATGACGATAAAACAAGAGCAAAATACATCAAGTTTAGTGAAATAAAGTAAAATTAGGTTCGAGCCGGTCAAATCTTCAGAAACTTTTCGCCAAGAAGCTGCGATAGCTATTCATTCATGTACATGTATTCATTCTTCAGATTCGGATTGCATTGCCATAAATTATGTTCTTTTAATTATAACTTGCCCGAAAAGTATCTCCAATTAATTGGCTCCATGACAACTTATGAGGACAGCAATAATGACGAAGGAAAAATAATCGAAGATGCCTTAAAACTATTATCTTAATAATAAAAAATAAAATAACTGTAAACTAACTTTTTGACCTTTTTTCTACCCTTTTTATAATATTTTAATCCTTTTTATACCCTTGCAGAGCAAAGGGTATTATAATTTTGGCCAGAAGTTTGCAACGCAGTGAAGGAGACACCTTAGACCCCATAAAGTATATATATTCTTGATCAGCATCACCATCTGAATCGAAATACGTCTGTACGTCTGTCCGTCTGTCCGTCTGTCCGTCTGTCTGTCTGTCCGTCTGTCCGTCTGTCCGTCTGTCCGTCTGTCCGTCTGTCCGTCTGTCCTCCTGTCCGTTTCTGCCCAAACTAGTCTCTCATTTTTAAAGCTATCTTGCTGAAACTTTCCCAAAAGGTGTGTAGCTATTGCACGCAGTATATAAGTCGGAACGGGCCGGATCGGGCGACTATATAGGATAGCTCCCATACAAGAGATTGAAATACAAAATTCTAACGCCGTTGTTTTTGATCAGATCGACTTGATTTCTTCCACATGGCGTTTTCTAGTTACTATTGAATTTCGGGTTAAATTTTATCGAAATCGGATAACTCTATCATATAACTGCCATAGGAGAGATAAAAAAATATATATAGAATTAATGGAAATTAATTGATAAGGTGATTGTTTTTCATCACACGACTATGATTTTTTGAGTATTTAACTAGCCTTGGTTTATAAATAAATAAATTCTCATAAAAATCGGACAACTATATCATATAGCTGCCATAGGAAAGATCGAAAAATCTATATAGAATTAACGGAAATAAAATGATAACATCGTTATTTCTCATCAGAAAATCATAATTTTTGGAATATAGAGTTTTCTAACGACTCTTGAATAACAAATAAAATTTTATCAAAATCGGACGACTATATCATATAGCTGTCATATGAACAATAGTCAAAAATATGAAAAATTAATAGAAAAGTCGTCGTTGCTTCGATGTTGTTTAGCCTTTGTGTATTTTGTTCGAAATATTTGATGACTGCAAGGGTATATAAGCTTCGGCTTGCCGAAGCTAGCTTCCTTTCTTGTTTTTCCTGTTTTTTTCCTAATCTGACGTTTTTTTTTCGAATTTTGGCATCACTGTTCCTTTCTTGTCATTAAATAACGGTACAGAAATAAGAAAAATTGTCAAAAAAATTTATTTAAGCTGGTAACAGATTTATAAGCTGGAGTTATAAATAACAATAAACTGTCTTTAATGAGCACGAAACAAATGAGAACTGATTGAATGCAATGTCAAAATATTTTTGTCCACATAAAAATGCTTACTCTTTCACATCACGTGTCATAGGAAATAACTTCATTTACATACATAACAGTGCCATCTTTGGCTCTCTTAAAGATATACATATTAGGGTGTCCCATCCTATAAGGGCGAATTTTTTTTTTCGATTTTGAAAACGCATACCCTCTATATTTCTTCTAGTTGATCTTAAGAACCTAAATATTAAATATTATCGAAATCGGATAACGGTAACCCGTGCCGACTTGATGCCAAACATTTAAGAAAAATATTGTATGAGAATCCTATAGGAAAATATTATTTTTTTTTTATAATGAAATTGAACACTATTTAAAGTAAATGAAATATTTATTTTTTAAAAGGACTTTATTTATTATTTACTGAATATTATTTATTATATTTTCTTTTTAAAGTTTTCTTTTTACAGTCAGGGTATATGAGTCTGTGTTCCTGTACGCAGCGCAGTAAAAATTGCTTCTGTTCCTCTTCAACGGTGATTTTTCCATGGAAATCTTGCATCAATTTAACAGCTCTCTCTGCAGTATCATTGACGGCTCTCAACGTCTTCATCTGCTCCTTAATTCGCAGATAAGAAGCATTACTAGACCATGAAGAAGGACTTTCTACTTTTTTGGGATCGATGTTGTTCCAGTTATCTCGAAATTTTTTGAATAATGGAATATCAGGGCTGCTAGTCACTTGGCTTATTTTAGCTTCAAATACTCCTTTCAATACTAATTCATAGATGTGATGACGGCAAGCAAAAATAAGCACATCTTTATTCAATTTTTGTTCCAGAAGCACGCAGGCACCATTGATACGACCAGTGTTTGAAGCAGTTGTGTCGCAACAAAGAATTTCGACTTTATCTGTAAGATTCCAGTCTGTAATCGCAATCCAAACTGCTTGTGCTTGTTCCTTTCCAGTGGAGCTGTCCAACTTTGGCACCGCGATCAGTTGTTCTTTATCACCATATGAAATAACTATTGGAAGGCGTTCTTCTTTACATTTACGTACGTCTAAAGCTGGCAACAGTTTTCCATCCCAATGAACAGTCACAAAATCTGGTAGGTGGTTTCCGAAATCGACTTTAATAGCTTCTGCCCGCTCTTTTCGTTTTTCTGTACGAATCCTTTGAATGGTGGACTTACTTATGGGATAATCGTCAGTATTGAGACCTAGTGACTCAATAGTAGCCTCGATAATGTACACAGAATTTCTCATACTTAACTGACACCTGTCCAAAGCTGCCACTAATTTTGGTGTTATCAAATGTTTGTTCGTTGGCGTTTCATTATTATCGGGCAGTGCAATTTCAGTCGCTGTGGCCAAATTATCTTGTACGTTTATTACTTCCATCAAATCAGGATCAGAAGAAGATTGTTCTTGATGAGATGAAGTCGAAGCAGTAAGGGATGCATAATATTTATCTCGACGTTCTTGTTCCTTGATATTTCTAAGGCGCGATTTTTCCTCTTTGTCGGGCAACTTTTTATCAACTCCAGCTAAGTGACCGGGTCTTCCTGGCTCTCTCTGCCGCTCCAAAAATGTTCTGTCTTCATTTATTTTTATTAATTAAAGGGCATCGGCATGTGCAATATCGAACAAGTTGTCCAAACTTTCAGTGAACTCTTGGCGACGCTGTTTGAATATGGGTTGTGTTTTGTTCGCGTTTTTTTTGCAAATCTCTCCAGACTTGGTATAAAGCAACTAACTTTTTACACAGTTAGGTAAAGCTTTAGTCGGTATACGGACTTTTTCCCAATAAATAATACATTCTTTTATAGTGAGATTTGCGCTTTCGCTAACACTTAAGTTCACTTCACGAATATTATAAAATAGTACCGCCAATACTTGACAATTAGATGATAGTTTTGAACCAGTAATTTGGTGTTTAGCATCGCCTATTAAAAATATGCCTTTTCTAGAACTGCGTAATTCCACTGACATCTCGACTGAATGAAAACAATGCGTTCACAAAGAAGAAAAAACAATAATGACCAAACACCGATAAGATATTCGCGCGCGCCAAAGTTAACAAGTACTGACATGTATCAATGCAAGTCGGCACGGCTTGCTATGGTCCTACGTACATGAAAATTTATTTACATGCATTTTAATACGATACGAAAATAATTAGAGGGTATGCATTAAAAAAAAACAACTTTTATATTTTTGGGACACCCTAATACATATGTAAATAGAATATCTTACTGGGAAGTGAAATGGATCCCGTAACTTTTACGAGTACAGGGAGACACGCACTGGAATATAGCTATAAGCTGTGTCAAAATACTTACATATGTATGTCAACGATTGTAAATATGCACTGACTTTGTCTTTCTACGGCTTTAATGAGTTAAGACTGCATACTGAACTTCATGAAAGCAAAACATATACTAGTATACTAGTATTAGCCTCTTACAGTAATTGAACCATAGAGCACAAAGAAAGAAAGCTTTGACAAAACGATGCTGGTTGCCCTTGCTGTTAAAAGTAAAATTTTGTACAAGGACTATAATATTATTTGTTTATTATATATCTTTTAAGCTAAGATTTTTTTTTAAATTTTGTGATCTTTTCGGAACATTATGAAATGGCAACCTCTCAAACATGACATGGGAACCTCGCGACAAATCGTTTCACTTGGAATTTGTGTTCCGGCCCTGTATAGCAAAATGTTTTAAATTTGAGATACAGTAGATTAATTTATTTTGATTTCTTCTGTACTATGAATAGGGGTGTAATCATCAAAACAAATTTCATAATCTCGGGGGTGTGGCCATGTGGAGTCGTGACTACGCCTTTCAGTTTTTATATCGGTAAAAAACGAAATTTTAGACAAAGTTTTGTAATATTATATAAAATTAAAAATTTGATTATATTTTACGACTCATGTCTATAGCTACTATTCAAATTATGTGACCAAATTTTAAGTGCCTTGTTTAGTTTGAATCTTTTTATTAAAGGATGATTACATTTCAATAATGTGTTGAAATAATCAAAACTCAAAGCGTCATTTATGAACCCTCTTTATTAAATGGGTGTTATATTGTAATTTCGGTCAGAAGTTTGCAACGCAGTGAAGGAGACACCTCAGACCCCATAAAGTATATACATATATTCTTGATCAGCATCACGATCAGAATCCAAATACGTATGTACGTTTGTCCGTCTGTCCGTATGTCTGTCTGTCCGTCTGTCCGCCTGTCCGTTTCTCTTCAAACTAGTCGCTCAGTTTTAAAGCTATCTTTCTGAAACTTTACCAAAAGTTGTGTAGTTATTGCACGCATTATATATGTAAGTCGGAACGGGCCGGATCGGGCGACTATATCGGATAGCTCCCGTACAAGAGGTCAAAAAAATTACGGAAAAATATTATTACGCCGTTGTTTTTCAATGAATCGACTTGATTTCTTCCAAATGGTGTTTTCTAACTACTATTGAATTTCGGATTATATTTGATCAAAATCGGACAACTCTATCATAAAGCTGCCATAGGAAAAATCAAAAAATATATATATAAATAATGGGAAAAAATTATAACGTCGTTGTTTTTAATCCCACGAGCATGATTTTCAAAATATTGAGTTTTATAATAACCCTTGAATCAAGAAAAAAATTTCAATAAAATTCGGCATCGTTATCATACAGCTGCCATAGGAAAGATCGAAAAATCTATATAGAAATAACGGAAATAAAATTATAACATCGTTGTTTTTCATCAGACAAGCATGATTTTTGGAATATAGAGTTTTCTAACTCTTACCAAAAGTTTTGTAGTTATTACCCGCAGTGTATAAGTCGGAACGGGCCTAATCGGGCGACTATATCACTATATAACTCCAATACGAAAGATAGAAAAAAAAATTATCATGCCGTTTATCATATCAACTTGATTTCTTCCAGATGGTGATTTTTATCAAAATCAGACAACTATATTGTATTTTTATGAACATAGCATAAACGGAAATAAATTGAAAACATCGTTGTTTTTCATCAGAATTTTTGGTATAAAGAGTTTTCTAACGACTTTTAAATTAAACATTAAATTTTATCAAAATTGGACTACTATATCATATAGCTTACATAAGAACAATCGTCGAAAATACATAAACTTAATAGAAAAATCGACATACATACATAGCTTCGATTTTGTTTGCCCTTTATGTATTTTGTTCGACATATTTGATGATTGCAGGGGTATATAAGCCTTCGGTCTTGGATTCTTTACTTTATTTATTGAATCGCTTTGTTTGAAAACCCGAATCCCAATGATCTGGAGCATAACGGACAATGACGCTCACGAGTTTTTCAAATTATTTTTCTCGTTTGTCTTACAATTTTCCAAGGTTCTAATTTACAATGTATGTTGACACAAAAAGACTGAAATCATTTAAATTCTTGTTATAGACTTTTATAAAACTAGGTGACCAGACAATGCTTTTTTAACGGTCATAGCCTCGCTGTAAAGTGTGCCAAAGTTGGCTGTAAATGGCCTGAATCGGTTGATTCTTTAGCCCTTATATTTGCAGGCCAAGCAAATGAAGTCGCTTTGGTATACTTTGTTAATATGTCTGTTTCTATGTGAACTGGTCTCTCAATTGTAAAACTATCTCACTAAAACTTTGCCAAAATTATGAGGTTGTTGAATGCAGTATACAAAGGGGTTACTTGGGTTTGGAAATGCTAAGCCGATATTAACAAAATTTTAGGCAAGTATTCTGGATATAGCTTTCAACAATCTACATGAAGGTTTTTTTCAATTACAATTTGAGCCAAAATTCTAATTTTTTCGTAAAAACCGCTGCCCAAACTTCAATATTAATTTTTTTTTCGGCCATCTGAGTTGTAGTTTTAGTTCTTACATGAATACGAATATTACTGTTTACGCGTTCAGTAATCCAGCTAGGAGTAATGCTCAAGCAAATGAGGTCGCTTTGGTATCAGTTGACCAAAAATTAAAATAAATAAATTGTGATTGAGAGTCATAATAATAAATTAAGAAGAAGCTATAAAGATTTAACATATGCAAAATAAACTGTCATGGGGAAGATGATACTATAATTTTACCTAATATTGACACTTAAAAAAAGATAAAAAAAATTGACTCAGCTCAGATTTGTGCAGCTTTCGAATCTACAGTCTACCTTTACCAGCACGTTTGGTTAAGTTTGATAAAGTAAAACATATGTATGTATTGAATAGAGTGGAAAAATTGGTGAATTGGAGTGGGCAGGTTCTTTCAATAAGCACTTTGTAAATGTAGAATTTTTCTTCCCGTTGGAAATAACAATACTTGGGGTGGTTCACTTTATATTATTTGGACTTTATTGGTGGACATTAGTTTTTACACTACTAGGATTGAATAAAAGGAGAGGGCGGCAGAGCGGTGTGGAGACAACTAACAGACCGAGAGAGCGATATGAGAGTGCATCTGAAGAGAACTGCCCTCTCGGCTGTTGACCGTTACACTGCCGGAAAGTGTCCCGTCTTGGCGCGGACATCGCTAGTTCGAGGACGGACGGTCACCGCACATGGTCATGCAAAATGTAGCTGCACGGGTCAATGAGCGCACTTGTCTCGAATTTCGTGGTGCCATTGACGAGCACCACTATCGTCGTTATCAATATTTGCAGCGCGACAGGCAGCGGAGATCGGACGGGACTCCTGCTTCTGGATGCAGGCGAATGGGCGCTTGGAGCCGATGGTCGTGGTGATGGGGGCGATGGCGACGGACGTAGCGCCACTGACAGCTCGCGTAGGAGGGGCAAAGTGTGGTGATCCTGTCCACACTTCTTGCACTTGTCTCCGCTGCTTAAAACACCTTCTGAAAGTACTTATTAATTAGCACTGCTCGAAGCCGCTTTTCGGACGACAACCTGTGGAAGCGGTTGCACTTCCGAAGAGGATGAATCCATGCTGACTTGGCAGCGGTGGGACTTCGTACCTCGGGAATGTCTGCTATCGAGGGCTTGGGCAGTGCGGGGGGTAGGACGAGGAGCCATTGTTGATGAGTTTCTAAGAATGTCAGCATACATTCGAGCATTCACATTCGAGTTCGAACGCCGCCGCGTATGGACGTGTTTTTCAATCGCTCAGTGAAAACTCCTATTTTACCTGCATCCAACTGCGAAAATATAGGCCCACTAGTGAACCCAACAAACCCCAGCGAAAAGACGCTTTCCCACACAAAAAAAAAAAACCCTGTGTTTACCTTATTTAACCTATCATAAACAAATAAGCAAGCTCCAAACAAAAATGAGTGAGCGTTGCGCTCAAACTCAGAGCGCTTGCCCTCGCTCAAGCATCAACAACGCTTACTTTACAATAAAGTTAAGCGCCGACAACAACAGTGCACATAGCACCCTCTCAGTGCAGCCTCAGAGAGCACGCTCTCGCGCTTTTACAAGCAACGCCAAACCCACCAGCCGCTCTCCCTATGGAGCAATTACCTTGGAGCGAGCAATGCACCTCACCGCTGCCCCCGCTCTCTACTCTCGCGCCAACCTCAACGTCAACACAACCCACAAAATTACCAACAACGATATCCAATACCGCAGCAAGTACCAAACAAATAAACTTCAAGCTTTTAACATCGTCTCTGCCACTCTCCACAACATTTGCAACAACTACAACAACGACAGCTCCCCTAACAACAACAACTACAACAAGCTACTCCTCTAGATCGTCCTGTTCTATAACAACAACATTTACCGAATTAAACCAACAAAGCCTTAAACGGACTCGTGATAGACAAGTCGCCAGGACAAGTAAACGAGCAAACGAACTCAACCAAAAAACAACGGAGTAAAAACCAAAGAGCCACTCAAAAAACACTCAAAGAGTATTGGCTAGCAGAACCACGCTCAAACAACCGCTTTGAGTTGCTGGCGCATGAGCAAGACGATGAAGCTCAAAGCGACAATGGGACAGACCGGAACCTAATCGAGCAAATACCATAGCGAAAACCCAAACCTCCACCGATCTACGTCCAAAATGTAGAAAATATCCACGCAGTAACAACTGCACTAAACTCTTACCCGAGACAAAATTCGAGCTAAAAGCACTCTCAACGAACGAAATAAAAATACAACCGCAAGAAAGTATACACTACACAAACATCCTTAAGTTGCTTAAAGACAAAGAGACAAAATTTTACACGTACAGACCAAAAGATCAGAGAGTAATACTCCGCCATGTACATCATGCTACCGAAAAAAACGAAATAATTAACGAACTAGCCGACCTTGGGCATACAGTTCTAAACATGCACAACAGTCAACGCAATGACACAAAAAAGCCGCTACCCCTCTTCTCAATTGAACTTAAAACGCAAGATAACAATAAAGACATATACAAAATAAGCCA